CAGGCACGGAGTACCCTCAGCTGCCGATGCTTGCAATCGAGGCTGCTGTGGCCGCCGGTTCTGAGCTGATGGATGCTGCCTGGCGCTGGCTCACACCCACAAACACTTGCAGTTGCTTGTTTCTGTCTCACACACACACGAGCCCCTCCCCATGCTGCCAGGCATCTGCACCGAGTGCGGCGTGTGCGACGAGGGGGAGTCGTTTGGGGAGAATGTGGTGTTTGAGCCGCCGCACATCCCCGCATTCGAGGGCCACTACCGCCCCAACTCCACCCGCGCCCAGCGCCTGCGCTTCAGGCATGCATGCCGCAGCCAGTCTGGCTGGCTGGCCGCTGGCCGCTGGCTACTGGCTGGGCAGCAACACAGCGCTGGCATGCTCTTCAGGAGGAGTCGGGCTCCACCTGCGTTGCCATGAGGGGCCTGCTGTGCCAGCTGGCGCCTCCTTGCCTAACCCCCCAAAACTTCTTTGGCTCCTTGGCCCCCCACCCCACCCACCCCACGATATGCGTGGACCCTGCCCTGCCCTGCCCTGCCCACCCTGCCCACCTGCAGGTTCAGCAAGACGGGGGACATGGTGTTTGTGGGGCACCTGGACCTGATGAAGACCTTTGACCGCAGCTGCCGCCGCGCCGCGCTGCCCATCTCGGGTGCGCACTCCCTCCCTCACTCCCTGACCGGGTCCCCCGCCCCACCTTCGCCGCCAGCGCGCATTCTTCGCATGCGCTCCCGCAAGGCGCCTCCATGCATCCATCCGCCAGGCCGCCAGGCTTACGTGGCCATCCCATCCCGCCGCATGCAGCCGACGAGTCGCCGTTTGCGGTGCGGCAGCGTATCTACGCGGCCCTGCCGCTGCCGCTGGGCGCCACCAGCGCCTGCGAGTGGCTGGAGCTGGTGCTGACGGAGCGCTTCGATCCCCAGGACGTGCGCACCAGGCTGCAGGTGGGCAGGGGAGGGCTGGAAGCTGGCGTGCTTGCTTACGGGCACAGAAGTTTGGGCTGCCACCCCAGCCTGCATCTGCCTCTGCTCTTTTCGTGGCGCCTTTTCACCTGCTCCTGTCGCTCGTGCCCGTCGCTGCACCTGCAGGCACAACTGCCAGCGGGCCTGCAGCTTCTGTCTGTGGAGGAAGCGGAAGTGAAGAAGATTGATGGCAGCAACGGCGAGAAGATGGCGCAGCTGCTGGATTCTGTTGAATACTATCTGGTGGTCGAGCGCCAGCAGCAGGACGAGCAGCAGGCGGGGCAGCAGGAGCCTGGGGAGGAGCAGCAGCTCAGCAGCAGCGCCACCAGCGCCAGCGGCGAGGGAGGCATGCTGCGCAGCCTGGCGGCGGCTGTGGCGGGCGCGATCGCGGCGCCGGCGTTTGTGGTTGAGCGGCGCACCAAGAACCGGGGACGCGTCAAGGTCTCTCAGGTGGACCTTAAGTGGGCTCTGCAGGAGATGGAGGCCGTCAGTACCAGCGGGGCAGCTGCAGGCGGGGTCCCACTTGAGGTACTGCCGGCGGCAGGCGGCCAGGACAACAAGGCCGTCGTCAGGCTGCGCACGGCGTGCGCCAACGGCAACCCCGTCCTGACCCCGGCCATGGCTCTTGATATGCTGAACGGTGGCCCTGGCAGCAGCAGCAGCAGCAGCAGCAGCAGCACGGAGGACGACAGCAGCAGCAACGGCGCGGCCTCAGGCGAGAGCGGATGCGGCGCCTGGGCGCTGGCACACATCCACCGCTCCGACCTGCGGCTGCGGCCCATGTCGGTGCCGCAGCCCGACTGGCTCAAGCTGCGCAGCCTGCTCAGGCGAGGATGCAATTCGCGCAGCGGGGGCATGCATTTTGCGGAGCAGCTTGAATGTGGCAGGGGAACCCGTGTACCGCACTCCAGCCGGCCTGCGCTTGCTTATCGCTCATTCCTGACTCGCTCTGCCTGCCCTCTGCCACACCCGCAGAATGGAGGGCCACCTGGCGGCGGCAAAGGGAGGCGGCACAGGTCCCTGGTCAACCGGCCTGGAGAACCGCCCGGCCCTGGAATAATGGGAAGGGTCCGGCTGGTCCTGCCACCTATGTAACTATCGATAGCTATTGCCCGATCTGCAGAATCTCGAGCGATAGATCCCAGGTTAATCTGCAATCCCAGCGTCAAATTGACTTGCGAAGGGACCCGCCACCCGCCGGCGCCCTCCAAACCTCAGCACGCAGAGCGCACTCACCCGTTTTGGCGGGGTTTGGCTGGGGCGCTGTACATCCCGAAGCGGTGCTCTGAGTAGGCGATCACCAGCGCCCCTCTCTGTCGAAACCTGTCGAACGACGTCCCCCTTGCCAGCTGTTCCCCGCGCCATGGCGGCCACCTGTCTCCGTGAGCATGATCAGTCGCTTAGCAAACATGCATCGTGGTAGGCCGCGCACATTTGTGGCACATCGCTAGCGCATGGTTGCCACCATACCTCACCTCCCGCCACCGCTGCCGACTCTCTTGCCAGGCCGTCCTCCACCCAGCCTCCCACACATGCAGCTCAGATAGGCCGCCACCTCAGTAAACATCCAGTGGAACTGCAATGGCATGCTCACCGGTTCGCGGCTTCTGGGCCTTTGTGTGCTGCGGCCGCGGGCCATGCGGTGAGGCGCAGGTTTGGCGGTGTGATGGCACGCTTGCGAGCTGTCCGGCTGGTGTTCCTGAAGGGGTATGCTGTAGCAGTCCACCAGCGGTGCATCAGACCGATCGCACTCGGTGGCAACCATCCCCCAATGCTGAATGATGGGCAAACCTTCGCCCGCCAACATGCTGCCTGCAGCTGACCAGGCACTGCTGTCCGCGCTTCAATCACAGGACCTGGATGGGCTTGGCAGCCAAAGGTGATGAGCCCCAGGGACACTCACGGCACAACGGCCTGCCCAGCATGGCGCTAAGTCCTGATACGTGCCTACCCATCTCTTCTTCCCGCCAAGGCGGCATGCATCAAGGCGGCTTTACATGTCAACCTCGAACCGGCAAGTGTTTTCACATCAGCACCAGTCAAATGTGCCTCAAAATTCGTCAAAATCAAAGGTGCAAGAAAGGAAATGGGGGGGTGGGGAACGGCCTGGGGCATTCCCGGTGCGAGGGAATGAAATGGCAACTAACTCATCACTACGCAGAGGCAAGACGGGGGCGACAGGCAGCCACGGGAATCTTGGGAGGGGGACAGATGCGGCGACAGAGAGGAGAGGGCTGAGCGTGCCTGGTGGGCAGCCCATCAGGGGGTACATGTGAGGCCTCAGGGCCGCTGCCGGCCTGGCGCCTGGCTGGCCGGTCCCGCGCTGGCAGGCATCAGCGGCGAGCGGCCTACGAGCTGCCAGAGGTGATGCTCGGGAGGGCTCGCCGGCCAGACACGGTGACGGGCCTGCCGTTGCGGGAGGCGGCGGGCAGCTGCCTGGGGCCGGGCTTGGTGCTGCCGGTGCCGGCAAAGGTGCCGGGCACCACCTCCACGCGGCTGTACGCAATGTTGGCGGTCTTGGTGCGCAGCTTGGAGGACACCTGCGGCGCGGCGGGGCGAGGGGCGGCGCCGCCGTGGGCTAAAGAGGGGCGGGGCCGCCACCAGGCGCGAGCGGCAGCCGGGGGCACGGGCCGCCCGGAGTGCAGCCCAGGGCACACCCCAGCCTGCCACACGACCCCCCCCCCTGGCATGCAGGCATGCAGCCCCTCCCAGCCCCTCCCAGCCCAGCCGTGGCTGCCCTCGCTACCCCTATGATCCCAACACGATCCACCCCCCCCTCCTCTGCTCACCCAGCCGTTGAAGCCGCCCTTGATGACAAACACGCGGCCAAAGCCGCGCGCCGCCAGCTCCTTGGCCACTGCCCTGGCGGGGCCGCCGCCGTTGCGGTCCATGAGCAGCACCTTGCTGCCGGGGGAGAGCCGCTTGAGGGCCGCCACCTGCAGCGCCGTCACCTGCACCTCCAGGTCGCCCGCGTTGCGCAGCTGGTTGCGCACGCGCCGGTCCTCAATGGCAGCATACTCCAGCTCCACCAGCTTGCCTGCAAAGGGGGGAGGGAGGTGGAGGGGGAGAGGGAGGGGGGGCAGGAGCGAGGTGAGGGAGGAAGAAGGGAGCAGGAGCGAGGCGAGGGAGGAAGAAGGGGGCAGGAGCGAGGCGAGGAAAACAGACACAGCCAGGCAATGAGCAGCAGGCAGGCAGGCAGCGCGTGCCGCGGCACCCGCGACCGCAGGCGCCGGCCCGGCCGCCCGCCGCGCGCCGCTCACTGGCGTTGGGGATGTCGGGGGCGCCCGCCTCCTTGTCGCGCAGCGAGCGGATGTCGACGATGAAGGCGGAGCCCTCGCTCTCCACCGCGGTCAGCGCGGCGGCGGCGGAGATGTCGCCCGCGTAGCCGCGCAGCAGGCCCACGCCGGCGCGCAGCAGGGGCGGGGTCAGGTAGTAGGCTGCCAGCACGGCCAGCGCGTACTGGCCCAGCAGCGTGGGCTCGGTGGTGGTCAGGAAGGTGATCGCCTGGTCTACAAACGGCTTGGTGGCGGTGACGGCCTGCGGCAGGCGCAGGGGGGGACGTGTGGACGGAGAGGGAGGCGCGCGGGCTCGGCGCACCGACTGCGCAGCCAGCCAGCTGCGAGGAGCGGCCCGTCCCTGCTCCTGCCTCCCCCTCCCCTGCCGGGGACCCGCTGCATAGCCGGTGGGCGGCCCCACCTGCTCCGTGCTCTCCACCAGCGGCTTGGCGGCAGACAGGTCCACAGAGGTGGGCACGCCGCTGGTAGCCAGAGCCTTCTCCGCCTCCTTCAGGCCCGACTGCAGCCGCCAGCCAGCGCCAGGCGCGCGGGCCAGCCAGGCACAGACACGCCGTCAGCTCGGGCGCCAGGCACAGAGAACACGAGGGCAGAGCGCTGCACAGGGCAGGCGGGCCGGGGCCGGGCCCCAGCCATCCCCTGCCAGCCCAGCTCAGCGCAGCCGCGCGGCCGCACCTGCAGCGCGGGCGCCGCCACATCCACCGCCGTCCTCACGCCCTTCTCCACCACCGGCGCCGCCTGCTCCACGGCCGACTTGACGACGGGCGCGGCTGCCTCATAGGCGGTCTTGGCGTAGTCGACACCGGTCTGGGCCGCCGACACGCCCTGTTTCACCACCTCGCCCGTCGCCTTGACGATGTCCACGATGGAGGCGACGGCCTCGTCCACAGAGGGGGCGTCCTGGGCATGCGCGGCGGGCGCGCCGGCGGTGCCCAGGAGCGACAGGCCTGCCACGGTGGCTGCGGGGGCGGCGAGCGGGGCGGGGTGCAGGGGGCGGCGGTGGTGAGCGGCACGCGGGCGGGCGCCGGCTCGGGATGCTGCCTCTCTGGGCGCTGCAGCCAAAGCAGGCGCGGCTGGCGGCTCGCCGACGCGGTTGCTGCACGGCTGGCTGATGCTGCCGGCTGCGTGTCTGAGGGGCCACAGGCCAGCGGCAGGCTGCAGCAGCGGCTGTCCCCTGCGCGGGCCACTCACCAGGCAGGTGCTCGCGGAGCTCAGTCTTCTCAGGCGCCGCGGCCACCACGCTCATAGGCCGCCGCCCGCCCAGGCGCCGGGCCGCCGACTGCTGCAGCAGGCGGCTGCCTCCCAGGCCCATTCCCAACTTCATTCCCATCTTGGCGGCCATGCTGGTTTGCTTGCCGGGGCCTGGGGCTGGGGTGTGCGGGGGTGGGCGCAAGTAGGTTTGCTGCTGAGGGCGCCCTGGGGCGTTTGCAGGCTCCAAACAACTGTGGCAGGACCTCCGTGAAAGATTCTGCACGCGCCTTGGCCTCTGGCGCTGCATAACGTGCACAGGGTGCGCAGATTGGGAGGTGGTGGAAAGTCGGCATCGGATCGCTGGACGCACGCCTTTTGGCCCGCATTCACGCACATTGCCCTTATGCTGTGCACACCCCCAATCGCCACCGCCGGCCTCTCGCTTCGGTGCACATTGCAACACCCCCACCACCTTCTAGACTCACAGCGTCCGGGCAGGCCATCGGCAATCATGGTCATGCATGCAATCGTTCCCTCTGCTCACTGCGCGCTGGTGGGTTTGCCCTGCACCAAGGCACGGTGTGTCGCAGGACGCGTGGTAGGCACTCCTGCGCTCAACCGCGGATCTGAGCGGGTCACCAGGACCGCACGGCACGGTCTGGCGGTGCGGGCGACGCTGGAGGAGCAGCCGCGGCTTGGGGTGCCCACCCCCACGCCGCCGACGGCAGCCGCGGCCGCGCTCCGCCCCTCACTCGAGCAGCCACCCACCTGGCAGCAGCGGCTGGCGCGCTGGACGGGCATGCTGGGCCTGGCAGTGGCCCTGGCTTTCAGCTCGGCAGGCGCCGCGTGGGCCGCGCGCTCCGGTGGCCGCATGGGCGGCAGCTCGTTTGGCGGCAGCCGCTACAGCAGCAGCGCGGGCAGCAGCGGCTGGGGCAGCAGCGCGGGCAGCAGCGGGTGGAGCAGCGGCGCGGGCAGCAGCTGGGGCAGCAGCAGTCGCAGCCGCAGCCCCTTCCGCAGCAGCTGGAGCAGCTCGCCGCTGGGCGGCGGCTTGGGCAGCTCGCCGCTGGGCGGCGGCTTTGGGCGCGCCACCCTGCCTTCGTCCACCGGATCCGTCCGAGCCAACGCCTTTTTCCTCTCCCCCTTTGGTGAGCCCCGGCAGCAGAATCAGCCCGCCGCAGTAACACATGCCACGCCGCGCCTGCCTGGCTGCCTGCAGGGCAGGCTGGCTGCGCTCGCCGTAGCTGGCAGGCTGGCTGGTGAAGCAACCCTCCGTGCGACGGCGGCGCCGCTCCTAGCTCCAGCTAGCAGCAGGCGCCGGCCCTGAGCCAGGCTTTGCAGCTTCCCTTTTGCTGCGGGGGCGCCTCGCACTGATGCGCCGGCCCGTCCCCTCCCCCTGCCTGGCCTCTCTTTAGGCTTTGGGTATGGCTACCCCACGGTTGGCTTTGGCGGCGGCGGCCTGCTGTCGCTGCTGTTCTGGGGCGCCTTTGCCGTCATCCTGCTGCAAGTGGCCCAGGGCGTGATGCGCAACAGCGAAGGCGGGTGCCTGCAGGGCGCAGCCAGGCAGCTGCGGCTCTCTCTCGCCTCGCCCCTAGGCCGCTCCCCACACCACCGTCTCTCACCTCCCAACCACCCTCACCTCATCACCTCGCCTCACCTCAACCTAACCATCCATCCCAGCCCCACGCACCACCCCCGCTCTCCCCGAACCTCTCGCAAACCATCCCTGCTCACCCGCGCCCGCTCTCCTCCCCCTCCCGCCCCCTGGTGCCGCCCCGCAGGCGGCCGCGACGAGTACTCGTACGGCGGCGGCAACAGCGAGGGGTATGACGAGGTGGTGACGGTGGCCAAGGTGCAGGTGGGGCTGATGGCCAGCGCCCGGGAGCTGCAAAAGGATCTGGAGCGCATCGCAGACAAGGCCGACACCGACAGCCCCGGCGGGCTGCACTACATCCTGCAGGGTGCGCTGGGCGGAGCTGCGGCTGTGGTGTGGGGCTGAGGGTGGGGGGTGTGGATGGCTGTGTGTGGGGGACGTCGGGTGGAGTGCGCGGGTGGTGGCATGGTTTGGGGGTGGGCCATGTGCTCGTCTGCCCGGCACAGCGTGGCGTCACACGCTGCCCGCTGCCCTGCAGAGACGGTGCTGGCGCTGATGCGCAACCCGGACTACTGCCTGTACGGCTTCGCCAAGTCCAAGCGCGAGCGCTGCGCCGAGGACGCCGAAACCGCGTTCAACCAGCTGTCGCTGCAGGTGGGGCCGTGGGACCAGCGTGCTGCCCGCCGGGCTGCAGTGGCTGGGGCCCGCCGCGCCTGCTCTTCTGGGCGCACACAGGATGCAGCTGGATGAGGCATCCTGCCGCAAGCTTCGCTGCCACTGCCCACACACGCGCTGCGCTGCACGCGTGCTCCCGCAGGAGCGGACCAAGTTTGAGCGGGAGACGCGGGTCAATGTGGGCGGCCGCTCAGGGCGCAGCAGCCTGGCAGACAAGAAGTGAGCCGGGGTGCCCTCTGCTGGCGCTGCCATACATGTGTGCGCGGAATGTGTGTGTGTGTGTGTGGTGGTGGTGGTGGTGGGGGGGGGGGGATGGGGCTGCCACCGCCGCTCCTGAGGCGCACTCTCTTGCCCGCCGTGCCAAGCGCGCCTTTCCTGCGGCATCACCTTCCCTGTGGCTTCCTCCCCTGCAGGCCGTACAAGGAGGGCCAGAAGGAGCTGATTGTGGTGACTCTGCTGGTGGCGGCGGACGGCAGCTTCAAGGTGCCCACGGTGGACTCGCGCACCAGCCTGAAGCAGGCGCTGTCCATGATGGGTGCTGTCAGGTGGGCTGCAGGAGAAGCAGAATGCGTGCGTGGTTGTGGTGTATGTGTGGTGGAAGAGAGCGCGCGGCGTGGCGGGCCTGGGGGCGATGGCAGGCTGGTTGCAAAGGTGCTGGGGGCGGCATCGCCAGCGCTGCGCGCATGCTGCCCTCACCACTTTCCCCCTGCCGCCGCAGGGCTGACGACCTGCTTGCTGTGGAGGTGCTGTGGACCCCTGAGGAAGAGGTGCGGGCCCGTAGCTGCTGTTGGCCTGCTTTTGTGTGCTGTGTGCCAGCGTGCTCAGCCAACGTGCCATGCTGCTGTCTCGTGGGGCGGCCCCGTCTGCTGCTGGCGGCCGCCAGTGCTGACCACACCTGAGCTGTGTTGGTGGCCCCTTGCTTCCCTTCATCCCTGCAGGACGACCACTTCACAGTTGAGGACCTGGCGTATGACTACCCCACCCTCAACACCCTCTGATCCCATTATCGCACCCGCCTTCATATCCCGCCCCCTTGTTGCGGGTTGGGCCGGGCCCGGCAGCCATGCTGTCCCGCTCACTCAGCCACCGCTCCTTTTCATGTTCCCTGCCCAGTGCGTTGCCTCGTTCCCCACAGTGCATGCTTGCTCTCCTCCTATGGATTTCATTCGTTCCTGCCACATGGCTTTTGCACCTGATGTTGCCTTTCCCAGCCTCATGCCCTGCCTTGCGTATCCTGTATTGCCAGCCGGCAGCTGCCGAGTTGCCGGCTGTGTTGCCTGCCCCCTGCCCACCAGCCCCGCCCTTGCCCCCAATCACGCACCCCACATGAGCCCTTCTGCACTGCCTATCCTCTTCGCGATACCCATGTTTTTTCTGAGCCTTTGCCCCAAGCGAACTACTGAGCGGCCTGCTGCTGTAAGCAACAACGGCAGTTAATGGTGATTTGTATTGAGGGAAGCATGCCAGTACAGGGAGCAATGAAAGTAAAAGAAAATGACGAGGCCAGGCTGGGCCACTTGCCAGCCAGGAAGACTGCAAGGCACATTCCAGCCAACCTGGATGGGTGGCAGCATTCAGCTGCGCAGGCACACCAGCTTGCCCTCCACCACAAACTTGCTGCTGCCCTCCAGCCGGCTTCTAAAGGCGGCTTTGACGGCGGCCTTGCTGCTGACCAGGCTGCCATGCTTGGCCATCACCGCCGCCAATACCCGCCGCTGCAGCTCCTTGAAACTCAGCTGCTGCCGCTCCACCGCCTGCAGCTGCGCGGTGATCAGCTTGCGCCACTTGACGGCGCCCTCCCACTCGCCCGCCGCCACCGCCGCCGCCTCGCCCTGCCGCCGCTCGCCGCCCCGCTGCTTGCCGCCTTCCGCGCCGTGGGCCAGGGCATCTAGGTGCGTGCAGCTGCCAATGGCCTCCAGGCGAGCGCCGCTGGCTGGCGCCGCCTCCTCGCCCGCCTCGCCCTGGCCCTCGCCCTCCTCGAAGCTCACCCGCTTGCCCTCCCACTTCACGCCGCCGACCTTGACCGTGCCCGTGCCCTGCCCCAGCCCAACCTTGCCCTGCGTCTTGCTGGCGTGGGCAGCAGTGAAGATGCGGGCCTGGGTGTCCTCATCGAATGTCACGCGCCGCCGCTGCGCCTCGGCCGCGGCCTTGTCCAGGCCCTCCAGGCAGCCCGCCGACGCAAAGCGCGCCGCGCCCCACCACCCTGCGGCACAGGGAGGCGCTGGCACGTGGCAGTGGAGTGGAGCGGCGGCAGGCAGCGCGGCAGCAGCACCGCGCGGACCTTGTGTGGCAGAGACGGGTGTGCACAGTGACCAGGGAGGGCGGGGACGTGGGCGGGCACACCTCAGCTAGTGCGCACCTGTGGCGGGGGTTGGCACAAAATTCCAGGCGGGCCCGACATGCGCCACCACCGGCTCAATCACTATCCGCAGCTTCTTCGGCTGCTGCTGCTGCTGCTGCTGCTGCTGCTGCTGCTGCTGCGCACCCTGCTGCGCACCCTGCTGCGCCGCCGCCGCCTCGTCCGCCGCCGCCGCCGCCTTGCGGGCCTTCTTCTTGCCCGCCTGCTTGGCGCTGCCTGCGCTCGGCTCCCCCTCCGACCCCGCCTTGCGCTTCTTCTTACCGCGGCTGCCGCTCAGCTTCACCTCGCTGGTGGTATCCGACCGCTGGCTGCCGCCCTGGGCCGTCCCTCCTGCCCCCGCTGCCACCGCGTCGCCACCGGTGGTGGCAACCGTGGTGCCGCGTCCGGCGCTGGCGGCGGCGACCCCGCTGGGCACGCTCATCCCCAGCTTGGCCTCTGCCGCCGCCGCCATGGCCGCCTCCTGCTGCCGGATGCGAGCCATCTTGGCGTCACGCCCGCCAAACCGCCCCGCCGCAACGCGGCTGCCGCCCCTGGACAGAGACGCCAGCAGCCGCAGCTCGTCGGCCGGGGCGCTGGTGCGCGTGCCGTCGCGGTTCACCGCGGCAGCGACGGCCGCCATGTGCTCATCGTCTGCGGGGGGAGCAGAAAGGGGTGAGGGTGAGAGCCAGGACAGAGCCAGGCAACTGTATCCCCAGCAGCAACCGCAGACCACCGGGAAAGTAGGAGGGCAACGTGGGCAGCGCGCTGAGCTGCCAGCCGTGCGTGGCTGCCTGCCGGGCTGAGCCGCCTGCCACCCACCCGAGTCGGAGTCGGAGGAGTCGCTGCTGCCGCTGTCGCCCACGGTCTGCGCCGCAGAGTCGAACGCCTTCTCCCACCACTTGTCGCCCCAGGCGTAGCTGCCGTTGCCGCCCACCTGCGCGCAGGCAGGGGAGGGGCGGCGGCAGAAGGTCCGGCGCTGTGAGAAACCTTCCTGGTTCACACCCGGTGCTGAGGTAGAGGTTCAGTGCGCCAGGCAGGCTGGGAGTGAGCCTAGGGAAGGAGCGAGGTGCATTACAGCACTGCACCAGGCGGCGGCAGCAGGCCGCGGCGGCGGCGGCGCACCCCGACGGTGTCCTCCTTCTTCTTCACTTGGATGGCCTCCCGGATGCCGGTGCCCTCCTTGCCCAGTCCCTGGCCCGCATCCCAGCCCATGGAGCGAAGCATGCGTTCCCCAAAGCCTCCCGTGCACTTGGGCTTGGCCACCCCTTGGCCGGCAACATGGCCGGGGGGGAGCTTCATGCCGTCGATATCAACAGCAGCACAGTTCAGTGCTTGTGCACAAGGCAGCGGCCCGAGAGACTTCCCAGCAGCGCCTGCATTCACTGCATGCAAGTCGCCTGGCGGGGGCTGCTGGCGATGATGGGTTTTGACAGTTTGTGAAAGACGCTGGGACACCGCTTGGACGGTCTGTTCCATGCGCCGCCATTTCAGTGCCCCGCTGGCGGATGACTCGGCTGGCTGTCTCCCAGACATTGATCAGCACTCTTTCTTCATTCTGCCATTCATCGGAGCTTGGCATCAAAGCTCCCGCCCTCCCCTTCACTCACACTGCCAGGGTTGGGTCAGTGCGCCACAAGCGCGCCATGATTCGCGCCCTTTCCAAGCAATTGGCGCCCTGGGGCCCCGCAGTAGCTGCACTGGAGCAGCGCCTGGTAGGCTGCAGCGCGCTGCTGGCCCCCCAGATTGGCAGCACCTCCCAGCAGTGGCAGGCCCCAGCCGCAGCCCTCCAGCAGACCGCCTGGATGTCCACGGACGCATTCAAGGTGAGCAGGGCCCGCGGTAATGGCGGGAGGCCAATGGTGGAGGTGGCGCCAGTGCCGGTTTCCCGTGCCCGCCTAGGCCACCCCAAGTCTGCCTGTGCCCAGCCCTCCAGTAGCCCCCACCCGCAGCTGCCCAAGCTCACCACGCACGCCTTGTTCCCCGCAGAAGCACGTGCACAATGCGGGGCCGCGCTCGCTGCAGTTCCAGCGCCAGCCGGCAAAGGAGATGGTGGAGGAGGAGCAGCGCGGCTTCACGTTCAAGGCCCTGCTCACCCTGGGCGGCTACTATTCTCGCGAGAGCAGGCACATGCGCGCGGCGCAGCGGCTGTACACGGCCGTGACCGAGCAGGCGGTGGCACCCGCCTTCCTGCAGGGTGCGTGCCGCTGCTCCACAGCCGCTGCCGCCCCGCTGCTGCTGCCTCCCTTGCCGGGCCGCGCCTGCCCGCGCCAAAGCAACCAGCTGCATGCTTGTATGTCAGCACTGCAGGCCTTGGGATGGGGACGGGACAGCCTGTACTGCTGCCGCGATCCGGGATCGCAGTGTGGTAGCTGCACGCTGCCATCCCGCGTTTCTTCACAGCCTGCTCCAACCAACTCCTGCTCCTGCGCCGTGGCCTCCACTTCTCCTGCCTGCAGCCATGGGCATCCCTGAGGAGTTCCAGCAGATGCACTCCTCCATCTGCCTGCACATCTGGCTGCTGCTGGTGCGCCTGCGGGCGGAGGGCAAGGACGGCAAGCACCTGGCGCAGGTGCGCCCTAGGCTTGGTGGCGGGCTGTGGTTGTGGGCTCGCTGCCTGCCTGCCCCATGCACACCTGCTCCCTGCTGCTGCTCCTGCTGCTGCTGCCACTCCGGGAGCCTCCTGCTGCATCTTTGCTGCTGCTGCTCCTCCATGCTGATGCTGTACTGCCCCTGCTGGTACTGCCCTCCTCCATGCAGCTGCTGTATGACGACTTCCAGACAGATGTGGAGGACAGGACGCGCAAGGCGGGGGTGCGGGTGAGTGGAGCCGCCTGCTCCTGCTCTTTCTTGCGTGTACTTGTCAACCCTGCTGCGGGGCGTTATCAGCCAGGGTTGAATGAGCTACGTGTCTTGAACGAGCTACGTGTCACCACACCTGCCTGTGCGCACGCTTGTAATGGCCGTATGTCGCCTGCCACCGCCCGGCCAGCAGGTGCGGCTGCAGAAGCAGCTGACGGAGCTGGAGAAGCAGTTCTACGGCAGCAGCATGGCGTACGACCGCGCGATGGCTGGGCAGGAGGCGCTAGACAAGGTGTGTGGGGGTGTGGGGGTGTGTTTTGGGGGCGAAGGCTGAGGGCAGCGGCCTTCCCTGCAAACAGCGCTTGCCATCGGCTGCGCGGCCGCGATGCCCCTTGCCGGTTCGCCTGCCATTCTACATCAGCAAGCAGGTGCAGCGTGCAGCATGTGCTGTGCGACTCTCTCTGACGCCCTCCCTCCCCTGCCCTGCCGCAGGCGCTGCTGCGCAACGTGTACCTGCAGGATGCGTGGAAGGCGGACGACGCGCAGCTTCTGGCGCGCTACGTTCGCAGGTGGGCGCGTGCGCAGCTGGCAGGCAGTCAGGCAGGCAGGCAGGTTTCACGCAAGCTGAATGCCTGGCTGTGCACGCCTGCCTGTGGTGTGCAGGGAGCTTTCGTGCCTGAACATGACGCCCAGCGAAGCGGTCATGGCAGGAAACGTGAAGTTCTCGGCGGAGGGGATGGCGGACGAGGCGCCGGCAGCCAGCAGCAGCGGCAGCAGCAGCCGCCCGCAAGCAGCGGCGGCAGTGGCGGGCAAGGAGGCGGCGGCTGGGACGGCCGCATGAGAGTACGAAAGCTACATGTACAATGTACCATAGTGATTTGATCAATTGATGTTGGACAGTTTGCTAGTGCATTGTGACCTCCAGATGCAGCCCAAAGAGTTGCGCTCGGACCTCTCCGCCAGCCTGGCCGTGCCAGGTTGGATTCAAATATTCCTGCTCCTCCGGCCTCCTCCTTTCGCTGAATAGCATCGATTCTACATCATTGTACAGATACAGATCCGAGGCCCGTGCGCAACACAGCAAACAGCTCCACCGCCCGGCCCGGCCCCAGCGTGCCGCACCTGCCAGCAGGATGGGTACCAAGCCCAAAACGCCGGGGGGGTTGGCCCGGGGCGGGTCGGGCAGCGGCAGGTCGGGGAAAAAGCGAATTGTGGTGGCGGGCTCGGCGCTGTCGAAGATCAGCACGAGGAGCTGGAAGAGGTTGGCGCGGCGCGCGGGTGAGCGAACCTCGGGGGCGGCTGTGTGTGACTGTCCTTGGCTGCCGCCGCCTGCCTCACATGTGGTGCCCTCGCATGCCACCCTACTTATGCTCCTGCAGGCGTCCTGCGCATGTCGAAACAATGCTTCGACCCACAGGAAGGCATCGGCAGCGCCCTTGAGGATTTCCTGCGCCGCTTCCTGAGGCGCTGCATCCCGGTGGTGGAGTATGCGCGCCGCTTCACCGTCACTCCCAACGATGTGGCCTTCTCGCTCAAGCAGATGGGCATGTGAGGCTTAGCCGTGCAGCTTGCTGCGCTGCTTGCACGGCGCCGGGGCGTCGCCTGCTTACAAGCGCTGCCAGCATGCACGACACCCGCCCCGGGCAGCCGCTCCTGGCGCTGCCGCCGCGGCGCGCGGCTGCCCCTCCCTCCGCTCCGCACGCTGCGTCACTCTGCTCCTTTGGACCCTGGCCTTGCTGCGCGCAGCACGCTGTATGTCGAGGGCGCAGACTGGACGTACGGCTCCTACACGCGCTCGTATGTGCGGCGCCGCGTGATGGTGCGCCTGCCCGAGCAGCTGCTCATCGAGGCAGCCGCTCACCGCGCCGAGAGCGAGGTGGCGTCGGCCCAGGGCGGCGCAGAGGGCGCAGCGCCTGCATCGGTAGAGCGCGCCGCAGCGGCGGCACGCGAGGAGGATGACGATGAGCAGGTGGAGGCGGCCTCGGCAGCGCGGCGTGCCGACCAGGCGGAGCAGGAGCAGGCGCAGGTGGTGGCTGACGGCGCCGAGGGCATGGAGGTGGTGGTGGCTGCAGCCGCGGCAGAGCAGGAGAAGGAGCAGGCAGGCGATAAGGGCAAGGGGGAGCCTGTTGCGGCGGCAGGAGAGCGGCGGCTGTCTGGTGTGCCCACACCGGGCAACCTGCCCATGAGCAAAGAGCGTGCTCAGGAGGTGAGCGGCCACCAGCAGTGACAGCGTGCAGAGGATGCAGCCAGCTGCGCACGCAGGCAGACCTTTGGCCGTGCAGATTACACCCAGCTGTGCTTCCAGGGTGCTGCTTTTGCCGGCTTGCCTCCTTGCTTCGCACACCTCATCGCCCGCCTCGGCCTCGCCTTCCCTCCGCTCGCTGCCGTGCAGGTGCAGGGCTGGATTGCGGACGTCATGCACGGCCCGCTCAGCATGCAAGGCTATGTCAATCGCAAGGAGCTCAGGACGGTGAGCGCAGCGCTCGGGCCTGCCCGCCGGCGCCCGCTATCTAGTGCCAGTGTACGCGCCCCGGCCTCCCGCCTCCCTCGCACATGCCTCCTCCGCTCCTGCCAGCCTGCTGCTGCCAACCACCTGCCCTGCCTGCGTGCCCTGCCCCCGCCTGCAGGTTGTGCTGGCCAAGCACAGCTGCACCGTGGGCGAGGTGCAGGATGTGCTGTTCTCCCTGGAGCGCGCAAAGGCGATCATGGTGGAAGGAGACGACCTGTACCTCTGCTCTGCCTGAGTGCCTGCTGGCCTCCTGCAGGCAGCGCCGCTCCCGGGCAGGAGCCTGCCGCCGGGTGCAAGCAGCAGCCGCCGGGTGCTAGCAGCAACCGCGGGCTGGAGCTGGAGAGGCAACAAGCAGCGGCAGCAGCAGCCATGCACATACATTCATCAGCAGCAATTTGGATGCTGACATTGGGCAGCCTAAGGACAGGACACACTTGCATGCATGCATCATCATGTTCCACTGCATTTGCACATTGCGGCAGTTCCCCAGTTCCCACCGGCCGGCATGAGTGTAAGCCACCTGAGCTGTCGCGCATTCACCGCCAGAGAGGCTGTCTATGCTGCATTAATTACAGTGAAGTTGTTCGTGCATTGAACAAGGGTCAAACAGATAGCAGGGGAAACACGCCGACAGCCGGTGGATGCTGCAGCTTGCGGTTAGAAGAAGCCAGGGTCGTGGATTGGCAGGAAGCCCGCCTTTACCCGGTTCTCGCGCCGGCATGTTTGGTCATCCGGCTTGCACACCTGCGACAGCGGCGGCGGCGCAGCGCTCAAATCACCAACAAACGGTGGGCGTTCATGCCGGCACTGCGCCGTGCAGTCCCACCCCCGCCACTCTGTCGTGCATGCACGCGCACCGGCAGCGTGGCGCACAGCGCCCAGGAAGGCAGGCGGCCACCCACCACGCAGTCGCCGCACGAGGCGCGGCAGGTGCCCAGGGTGGTGGCTGCCCCACGCATGAAGCCCGGGTTGCGGTCGCACTCCCCCGAGGCGGCCCAGCCGGGGCAGCCGGGGTCGGCATCCACACAGTCCTCCGGAACCATGGGCGGCTCCGGCGCCAGTGGCCCCTTGAGCTGCTCCGGCCGGAAGGGCTTGGTGTGAATCCAGAATATGGCTGCGTGGCAGATGGCGGGGCAGCGGATGAGCCGTGGCGCTGCCGCCGGCATGCGGCACGTGCAGCGGTGCAAGATGGGCGGCGGCTTTGCTGCGCTGCGGCTTGTGTCGCAGCAACATTGGTTCACAGGTGGCGGGTGTGGCTCCCTCCCAAGCAGTGCCACCAATGCACCCACCCAATGGACCCACCCTCAGTGCTGTGGATCGGGAGGTTACACCCCGGCAGCGGCTGCCATATGAGTTGCCTGCCTGCCTGCCTGCCCGCCCGCCTCCACCTCACTCACCCACATACTTGACGCCGACAATGACGGGGCAGGCAGTGTGCAGGGCGTGCTGGTCGTGGGAGCGGCCGTCTGGGTTGAGGGAGTGGAAGACAATGGCGTCTCCCCGCTTGGGCTTCATCGCCACGTGGCCCTGCACCGGCGGCAGCACCAGCCCAGCGAGCAGCTCGACACCAATACCACCGTGCAGAGGCTCCCGCGCCGCGCGCACACCACGGGGTGCCGCTCCCAGGCCCAAAGGCACGCTGGCTGCCGGCGGCTGCAAGCGCGGGCGGCGGCCGGGAGCCCTCCCGGCGCCCGCCCGCGCGCTGCGGGGCGTGCCATCCCACCTGCGCACACTCCGAGAAGGGCCCCAGCGCCTTTGGCAGCGCGGGGTCGATCCACTCTGAGTTGGGGAAGGTGGTCTCGCCGCCAGACTCCACATCCGACAGGTAGATGAGCACGGTGGCGGTACGGGGCGAGTCGTCATCCAGGCTGTCGAAATGGGCCTGGCGGTACGGCAGGGCAGGGCAGGGCAGGGCGCAGAAGGCGGAGGGTAAGGGAAACGGGCAGGGTGAGAGGGCGCTCGACGAGAAGTGTGGCCGATGCGCGGTCGCAGCAGGCGGTCTGGTAGGAGGGGCAGGCGGTCTGGTAGGAGAGCATGCTGGCGCTGTGTGGGCACATGCTGTACCGCACCTTGTACTCCTGGGTGGTGCCGTACCGCAGCACCTGCAGCAAGCAGAGGGCCAGCGGCGGCAAGGAGGGGGTCACAGCGGGGGGGAGGGGCGCCGCGGCAGCACAAGCTGGGGCGCCGCAAGGGTGGGCTCTGCAGCTGGCATAAAGAGAGGATGGCACGCCCAGCCACCCACTGCAACACTCTCTCTCTCTCTCTCTCTCTCTCTCTCTCTCTCTCTCTCTCTCTTCTCTCCCTCTCTCCCCCTCAAACCTGTATGTCCTCCTGGTGGGTCACATTGTACTTGGTCCAGGTGGCCACCCGCTTCTCCAGCGTGGACACCACCTCGTCGTGGTGGCGCCTGCGCGGGGAGGCACGCGCGGGCGCAGCGGGTTGGCGGGCCAGCGGGGGCGGCAGGCACACATGCACGCCTCCCGAGCTGGTGCTGGCCGGAGCTGCGGATGGCCCCAGGCGCGGGAGGACGGAAGAGGGAGGGAGGAACATGAGGGTCCCTCACCTGATGAACATGCCGTAGGATGTGCGGTAGTTGTCAACCACGCTCTCGCCGCGTGATCCCACCACCGTGCTGCGCCGCAGCTGCATGCAGAGGTGCGGAAACTCGCGGTCATGCACGTTTCTCCAGAAACACGAGCAGCTTGGGTCAACCGTACCTGTGGCTGGGCCAGCTTGATCATGTGATCCGTCTCTTCCTTGCTAGCAAAGTTGTGTGCTACAAACGCCCGAGGATACCATGACACGGGCTCGAACCAGGGGTGTGCCGCAGCCGTGTCAATGGCGCCTGCAGCAGCGGCGGCAGCGGCGGTGGCAGCGGCGGCTTGGGGCCATGCATCGCCGGGCGGGCCGCACCCAGCCCCATGCCAGCGCCTACGTGCTGATTCTCCCTTTCAGCACATCCTCGGCCCGTACCTGCGCTGCTGGCGGCCACTGCAAGTAGCAAAGAGATGAGGGCGAGCCCCCCGCCGTCCATGGCTCTATTCAGGACACAATCAGACGGGCTGCAAAGGAGAGGAAGCAGTGCTCTATTGGGATGCCGGTTTGAGGTGGAGGGTAGGCAGGGCGCGCCCAGACTACGTGTCCCTAATGCAGAGCAAGCTTGATTCCGTGTTAGGACTCCCACAGCTTCTTTGGTTGATTTGACAACCCGCCCTGCACCTGGGGGGCGCCATCTACTGCAGACCACATCCCGTCACCTGTCGCTGCGCAAGTTTTGCGTCGCCGGTTGCTCCCGAGACAGCCATAACCTGTGTAGCTAATCGGCAGACCATCAGGGAGCTCGGCAGCGGCCCCCACCTGCCTTGTCCCTCGCCCACAGCCAGGATGCCTTCGACCAAGCAAAAGTGAGCGCCTGCGATGCCTGCTCCAGCCAGCCATTGCCCGCCGACAGATGCCGGTGGCCCGCCTGCCTGCCGCCACCCGCCGCCACCCCGCCCACCGCCATTCACCACCTTCACCTCCACCCCTGCTGCGAGCTGCAGGAAGCCGCGCAAGGCGCAGCAGCAGGCTGAGTCGAGCAGCGGCAGCTCGGTGCTCGGGCTGCTGCTCGTGGCTGGAGCGGCAGCGGCGGGGTGGTGGTGGTGGCGCCGGCGGCAGAGCGGCGCCGGCGGCAAGTCGGGCGGGCGCAGCAGCTTCAAGTTCCCCGCCGCCCAGCAGCAAACCAGCAGCAGCCTGCCCCGCAACAAGGGGGCCAGCAACAAGAAGAACAAGGCACGGCGTAAGGAGGAGAAGGCGCGGCGGGCAGAGAAGCGTGACAAGTGAGCTGGCCCGAGCGCCGCCCTCTCTCGCGGCCAGCCGGCCCTGGCAACTCCTGCTTCTGCATTTGTCGCCCTGGAGCATGCTGCTTGGCACCTTCAGCTGGCAATCCCATGTGCCACCCCCAGCCGCTGTCAGCATTCCATGCGCCCCTCGCTTCCCATCCCGTCTCAGCCCCTGCGCCGCATGTGTCGTGTGCAGGGCGATGGACGGGCCCAAGCAGGCAGGCAAGGGTGATGAAGACCAGCCCGCCTCCACCGCTGTGATCAACTATTCTTACTTTGACTCGGCCCGCAAAGACACGCTGCTGCCTGCCGCCAAGAAGCGGCCCACGCTGAGCGCCGCAGACGCGCTCAAGATGCAGCAGGACGCGGCCTCAGGCAGCGGCGGCGGCGGCAAGCCGTAGCGCGGCAGCCGCTCTGTTGTTGGTGCGACCCCTTTGCGTTGCTTCCGTTTTTCTCAAAGCGACTGAGCGTTTCCTCGGACATTGCCGACACCCGCCTCCTTCTTCTGTTTACCTTGTGAGAACCTGTGCTTCTGTTACAATCTGAGAATCAATCAACAGGAGATGAAACAGAGGGGTAGTGATGTACATGGGGGGGCAGGTGCCGCCGCCGAAATGTGTTGGTACAGGGGGCGAGGCTCATCGCACGCAGCGGAAAGGCCGTTTCCAAACAGGTATTCGTGGTAAGCAGGGGGTGCGATCATCAACTGTACTCCTACCTGGCACGGTGGCAGGGAGGCGCTGGTGGGGCGTGCTAGGTACTAGATGGACTGGCCAAAAGCTCGGGCATCCGGCTATCTTCCTGAACGGAACCATCTCAAGCCATCCTCACCGCACTGCTGGCTTGCTCTGCAGCTGACTGTTTGCCAGGCGTGCCAGCGACTGCCTAGCTCTGTCCGTTGTGCTGCGGGAGCTGCTGCTACCCGCCGCCCCCTCCTGCTGCCGGCGTGGCGCTGCCGCCGGCTGCCTTGCTGCCGGCGGCCGCTGCTGCCTCGGCCGCCGCCGCCTTCTCGGGCGTCCAGCTGGGGTCGAAGTGGCTGGTCAGGCCCACCCAGCACTGATAGTAGTTGCGATCTGCAGCAGGCAGGCCGAGATGGCGAGATGATGACCAAAGGCTTGGGAGGGGCTGGGAGCTGGGAGCTGGGCACAGCTGGTGCGGCTCTGCCCACACTTCACCCCTCCAGCGCCAGCGGCGCCACACCCCGGCTCGCTCACCAATGTTGGGTGCGCCCAGGGCGTGGGGCGTGAGGCGCGGCGTGTAGTAGGTCTCAAACATGAAGGCCAGAGTGTCCCTGCAGGCGCAGCGGCGGCGGCACGCCACAGGCGTGGAGCGGCTAGGAGCAGCAGGCCGCAGGCGTGGAGCGGCTGGGAGCAGCACGCCACAGGCGGGAGCGGCTGGGAGTGGGGCCGGCTCCAACTCGTGCCGTACGTTTGGGTGAAGAGGAGGCAAGGCCAGGCGCTGCGCTGCGTTGCATGTAGAGCTGCGCTGCATGTGGCGCTGGGGTCAGGCGGGCGGCATGCCGGGCCGGCAGGCGGCGGCTCACCTGGGCAGGTGCCCAATCTGCTCCGCCTCTGCCGCCGTGGCCGCCTCAAAGGTCTTGGTGTCGGGGCCGTGGGGCGTCATGCAGGAGTGCAGGCTGGCACCGCCTGCAGGCAGCGGAGCACGGCGGAATAATAATAAGAAGCAGTTTGACACGCTCAAGCAACTCCGGATCCGGCAGCCGCTCTCCGATCAGCATGGGCACGGCGGCGCTGACGTGCTGCACGCTGACGTGGCGGCCCCCCGCGCGTGCTGACCTGGCAGGAAGCCGTCCGCCTTGGCGTCGTACACGCCCCGGATCAGACCCATGAACTCAGACATGACGTTCCTGAGGCAGCAAGGGGTGGAGGCGGAGCAGCACGGCAGGGGAGCAGAAGGGTCGAGAGGCAGGGCAGCGGCAGCGGAAAAGCAAGATTCTGGGTGGCTTGGGTGCGTGGGGAGGCATCGGAGGGAGGGCGCCGGGCCATGCGCCTCCTCAGGACGCAGCCTCGCCTCCCTTCCCGCCCCTGCCACCCCCTGCAGCTGCTGCCCTGTTGGCCGCCGGCCCTGGCCTTGCGCACCTGTGGTAGTAGGGCGGGCGGAAGGTGTGCTGCGCCACGGTCCAGCGGGGGGGAAAGACGACAAAGTCGGCGATGGCGGTGCCCGGCAGGGCAGAGGGGGCGGTGAGCACCGTGAAGATAGATGGGTCTGGGTGGTCGAAGCTGACCGAGTTGACTGCAGGCAGGCAGGCAGGCGGTACAGATGCAAGCAGGCGGTACAGATGCAGGTCAGGGGAGGGAGGCGAGCAGACCCAGGGTGCGCTGTAGCCTCCGCGGGCCAAGGTTAGGGGATGCGTGGAGGCATGGGAAGGCCCGGACCCACGCTAGGCTGGTAGGGGTGCCAGCAGCTAGGCAGGCGGCTGCGCCCCCGGCCAGGCCTGGCGCACTAGGCAGTACCTGGGCAGTACTTGGCCAGGTCGTATTTGTAGGGCGCATAGTTGCCGTGCCAGGCCACCACGTTGAAGGGCGAGAAGGACTGGGCGGCTGCAGAGGCCAGGGGAGAGGGCGAGCGAGGTCACCCCGCTGTCAGACCATTGGTTTGTGCTGAAAAAAGCTGCGACCATGCCGCGTGATGCAGGCACGGCAAGCTGCACCCCGCCAGCGAGCCCACCAGAGAACAGCTGCCCCTCCAGCTTGTGCACCACGCTGTAGCTGCAGGCCCGGTCCTCAAACCAGGCGGTGGGGGTCTGGAAGTCGCGAGGGTTGGCCAGGCCATTGGCGCCTGCACACAAGGATGGGCAGCAGCGGTCGCGCGGGGCGGCCCACGAATGGACCGGCAGCGGCGGCCCGGAATATGTGCAACAGCCACAAATGGGCGTGCCGGCCTGCTCCGGTGTGCGGACAGGAGCGGACTGACCGCCTGCTGCTCCTCATGCGCTGGGCGCGCTGGGAGCCAGCTCACCGATAGGTCCCAGGTCTGGCAGCTGGAAGTGGGAGGCGAAGACCTCCAGCACATAGCCCCGCGACCGCCCGTCTGGCAGCGCCACGCTGCAACATGCGTATGCGCATGGGCGGGCAGGGGTGGCATGGAGTGTGGGCGAGAGGCGGCGACGGAAAGGCAGGCGGCGGCTGGCAGACTGGCCTTGGCGGGCCGGCGGGTGAATGCCACGGCTTGGCGCGCCTTTCTGCCCCAGCCACCCCGCACCTGAAGCGCATGCCTCGCTGGATGACGCAGATCTCGCCGGGGGCCACGTGCATCCGCCCAAACTCAGTTGTGATGAACAGGCCGCCCTGGGAGAGGCGCAGCGGGGAGGGCGGCACGCAAGAGGAGGGATGGGGTGAGGGGCAGCAGGGTGCGAGGGCAGGCAGCGGGCAACCAGGGCACGCATGCCACCCCATCACCCAGGGCCCATCACCGAGCACCCCCGGGGGCTGCCCGCCAAGCAAGGATGCGGGCCCTTGAGGTTCCCCGCCAGCCGCCACCCACCAGCTGCGGCACGATGAGGAAGTCTCCGTCTGCGTTGGCCAGGCAGCTGTCGCCCATGGATGCGGAGCAGGTGTACATGTGGATGGCAAACCCGTCCTTGCAGGTCGCGCTGCAGGGCAGGGGCAGGGCCGAGCAGGGCAGGGGCAGAGCCACACCTAAGGCAGGGCAGGGGCAGGCCAGGCTGGTGGGCTCAACACCCAGCCGCACAGCGCCGCCCGCTGTACCGGCGACGCAGCGGCGGCACCTCACCTGCCCGATCCGCAGATGGTGAACAGCCCCGTCACAAAGTCCACCTTGTCTTCCGGGATGGCAAAGGGGCGCCAGCGCAGCTGGTTGGGCGTCACCACGCCGCGGCTGAAGTCGGCGGTCAGCGTCTCGGCTGCGACAGTCGGGTGCAGGATGTACAGAGTGTGTCCTGCTGCTGCACCAGCCGTTGACGGCCACCCGTCCGTTGACGGCCAGGTAGCTGACCCACCACAGCCATCCAGTAAAGCCAGCATACACCGAACCACCTACCAGGGAAGTTGAGGGGGTGGAAGGGCTCGTGCGTGACCGAGGGCCGGATGCGGTATAGCCAGCTGCGGCGGTTCTGGGCGCGAGGCGCCGTGAAGGCGGTGCCGCTCAGCTGCTCCGCATACAGGCCGTAGGGGCAGATCTGAGGGTCACGCAGCGAGGATGGGGGAAGGAGGAAGATGCAGGGGCAGCTTGAGGTTAACGGGTGGGGGTGAAGAAGCGGCAGGGAGACGAGCAACACAAACAGCCGGACGAGGAACGCAGGAGGCGGCACGGTGGCATCGCGCAGCTAGCTGGCCCACCCTTGGGTTGTTCTGGCCGACAGGTAGCGCCCCAGGCAGCGCCTCGCTGGTCGCCTCATTGCCTGCGGGCAGCCAAGGCGCCACGGCGGGTGCGGCTCGGCGTGCCGCCCGCACACCGGCACACAAGGCGCCGCCGCCGCTGCGGCAGCAGGCGCCGCGGCGTGCACCCACCAAAGCCAGAGAGGTAGCGCAGTGCCTCTGGCGCCTCTTCTAAGCCGCTGGTGACCATTCCGGGCGAGCTGATCAGCCGTCGCAGTGTCGGAGGGCTGCTGCTGGTGCCCAGTCTCCTGCTGGTGCACAGCGTAGTTGCCTAGGGCATGCAAGGTGTGCTAGAGGAGCTTGTTTAGGCTTCCTTGGAGCGCCCTGCCTACGTGTCATTTCTCAAAACAGTGCTTTACCCCCGCTGGCCATAGGCTATCCCTGATTGCCTGCCCTGATGCGGAGGTGGATCCAGTGAGGCGGGATGTCCAAGTCGTGCAAGGGGCTGCTCAAGGAGCTGGTGAAGTGCCTCAGAGAGAGCGATTGCATGAAAACGGTGAGCCCTGGGTGGTGTTCTGCCCGACAGGCATCGATTGCTTGGTGGGTTGGCCGGGAAGGCGGCACATGGCTGTCACATGCTGAACCCATCGCCAAGCAGCGCTGCCTGTGACTTGAGGCCTCGGGAGCCGCCTGGCACCCTCCGACACGTTGGCCGAGCTTGAACGGCGCTGCTGTGGAGCCTCCTCTCGCAGCACTTGCGGCCGCCGCCGCTGCCCTTTGGCGGCAGTGCCACAACTGGTCTGCAACCACACAGCCACTCACGCCAACGAGTATCTGACCAGGGGCACCGATTCTGGCGTTTCGAGCATGCAGGAAGGCAAACCGATCAGCGAGTGCGCCAAAGAGGTCCCCGAGTGCCAGGGCCTGCGAAACGCATACTCCGCCTGCAAGCGCGGCCAGCTCGACGCGCGCAGCCGCCTGCGCGGAAACAAAGGCTACTGACAGCCTGCCCAGTGCCGACCCTGCCATCCGGCGGGTTGAGCTTTCGCTAGTATGGCAGCGCTGGCAGCGGTGGGAGTAGGCACCCAGCAGCCCACCCGTGCGCCATGCAACAGCAGTGGGTGGCAGTGGCGCCACCTGGGCGCCGGCGGGAGCAGTGGCGACAACACCAGCAGCAGCGCTCAGCAGCGCAATGTTGCAGCCGCCGCCAAGCGGCGCGGTCCTAGCAGGAACAGCGGCAGCACGGCAGGGGGCGGCGGCAGGGGGCGCACAGCTCCCAGAGACCGGGCGGCCGTCAAGGAGCTGGCCGTCGTGCTGAAGGATGGCAAGCGGCAGCGCGGAGACGGCGGCGGCAGCGGCGGCGGCGGCGGCAGCGCCGGCTTTGGCCCGCCGAGCGGCGCCAGGAGCAGCAGGGGCGGCCGCCGCGGGCGGTGGGAGGAGGAGGAGGCCGACTTGGAGGCTGAGGGGGAGGCTGACTGGGATGAGGAGCTGCTTGCGGACTTGTCTGACTCAGGCAAGCCTGGTGGTGGCCGTACTGCCGTGGTAGATGGCGGCTGGGCAGGCTGCTGCGTGCCATGCTGGTTGCCAGCCCTGGTGGCAGCCATGGGATGGGCGGCGGAGGCGGCACAGCTTTTAGGGTGTCAGGTTGCAACGTGCACCCCCGCCTGGCCGGCCATCCAGCTGAGCAGCTGAGCAGCTTGCCAACTCGCAGCTGCTGACTGCTGACCCTCTGCTTCTGCCCGCTGCGCCCGCTGTGCCCGCCGTGCCTGCCGTGCCTGCCGTGCCTGCCTGCCTGCAGAGGTGGCGGAGCTGATTGGCGAGGAGGGCGGCGAGCGGGGCGGCGACCCGCTGGCAGGCGCCGACCCCGACCTTCGTGCGGCGGTGGAGCAGGTGCTGTGCCAGTTTGCTTTCCAGCTGGACCCTTTCCAGGTGCAGGCGGTCGCCAAGCTGCTGGCCGGCAAGTCAGGTAGGGGCTGGGACGGACGGCAAGGAAGGTGGCAGGACGCGCAGGGTTGTGCGGCGGGGCAGACGAACAGGGCTGTTGCTGCTCGCCGCCTGTAGCGGTCCTCGTCTGCTCCGCCACTGCATGCCTGCCTCCCCACCTGCCCACCTGATCCGCTCCAAGCCCCCTGCCCTGCTGCAGTGGTGGTGTGCGCCCCCACGGGCGCCGGCAAGACGGCGATCGCCGAGGCCGCCACCCTGCACTACCTGGCTGAGGGGAAGCGGGTCATCTACACCACCCCTCTCAAGGCGCTGTCCAACCAGAAGCTGGGGGAGATGCGGGAGCGGTTTGGGTGCGCAGCACGGCACACACACGGCCGCCTGCCTGCCTGCCTGCCTGCCTGCCTGCCTGCCTGCCTGTGCCTCGACTGCCCGATTGCTGAAATGCCCCCGTGCCTCTCCCACACTTCTGCCTGCCGGGAAGCTCAGCCCGCCAGCTTCGAGCCTGGTGCGCCCGCCGCGCCCGCCAGCGCTTGGCGCCCCAACCTGTCGCCCGGGGCTACCTGCTGCTGCAGGGTAGAGGGTGCGGGGCTGCAGACGGGGGATGCATCGCTCAATATCGACGCGCCGGTGGGTGGAGTGGGCCTGTGTGTGCGTGGATGTGGGTGGGTGGAGGTTGTAGGCGGGGCGAGACAGCAGGCTGCACAGGAGGTGATCAGCCACATCTCCCGCCCGACCTGCCCTGCGCCTGCTGCCCCGCGGCTTTCCGGCAGGTGGTGGTCATGACGACCGAGATACTGCGCAACATGCTGTACCGCGTGGACGACGATGGGCGTACCGCAGACGACCGCCTGAAGGTTGGTACCGCTGGAGTTGATGGCAGTGGGGTGGCATGTGCGTGTGCACGTGTCAGCAGCCGGGTGGTCGGCTTATGTATGGTTGTGCGTGACAATGGTATGCACGCTGGGAGGTGCGTGGCTGTGGTGGCATGGCTGGAAGGCCGACTTCCTTGTTGGCTTTCTTTTGGCTGGCAGGCGCCGGCGCCGATTGCCGCGCTGCTGCCTGCCTTGGCTTTCCTGGGCTGCAGGATGTGGGGCTGGTGGTGCTGGATGAGGTGCACTACCTCGGAGACCCGGGCCGCGGCAGCGTGTGGGAGGAGGTGAGGGCGGCACGGTGGCGCCATCGGCAGGCAGCGCAGGCGATGGGGCAGAGCGGCGCTGGCGCGCGTGCGGCTGGCTGCCGGGCGCCTCTGCCAGCCTGCCTGTGCGCCGAGGTGGCGGTACCATTTGGCTGGCCTGGATCCTGTTGAGCGACAGGGGCAGGGAATAACACACACACATGTTGTTGCTCCCTGCCCCTGCCGCTCGCAGGTTATTATCAACCTCCCTCCACACATCAAGCTGCTCAGCATGAGCGCCACAGTGCGCAACCCAGAGGACCTAGGGGGCTGGATCTCGCAGGTGGGTGGGCTGCGGGCTGGCTGGCAGTGGGATGGTGTTGCTGTGGGCGGAGACATGGTGTGGGGTAGGCTGTGGTGGAACAGGCGGCTGGCTTCTGTGGTGTGGCTGGGCGGGCAGCCAGGGGTTGGCTCTGCCGGGCCGGCTAGGTTGGGGAGCGGGAGGTGGCTGGGTGGGTTGGGCAGGGTGAGCAGGGGCCGCGGTCTGTCGCCGGGAGCAGGCGGGAGCAGCCAGCTGCGCCCCACCACCGCCACGCATGCCCTGCCCCCTGCCCGGCAGGTGCACGGCGCGTGCGACACCATCCGTACCAGCTTCCGCCCGGTGCCGCTGACCTGGCACTTCTGCCACGCCCAGCCCGCGGCCGACGACGCCGGCCCCGCGCCACCGCCCGCGCGCCTGCTCCCGCTGCTCGACGACAGCAGGCGCAGGATCAACCCTGCGCTGCTGCCGCCGGGAAAGCGGTACATGTTTGAAGAGTCTTCAGGCACGCCTGAGGCTCGCCGGGCAGCAGCTGGGCGGCTCTGGAAGGCCCGGCCCAGCCCAGTCAGGACCACCCTGCGCCAGCAGCCCAGGCATCTGCATGCTTCAGTGGCGTGCCATCCATGCGCCCACAGAATCTGCCCACTGCTGCCCTCCCGTCTCTCCCCTCGCCTGCCTGCAGAGGATGGCTGGGGCCGGTGGGATGGCCTGAAGAAGGGCAAGGTGAGGCAGGGGCGGCGGCTCAGCCAGGCGGGGCGGTACCGGCAGCCCCTGCTTGATGGCATGGTGTGGTGTGGCGCCGCCACGGGGCGTGTGGACAGTCCCCGCTCGCATTCCCGTCCCGCCACCACCATGACCGCCCCGCACTACCCTACTGCGGCCCCCAACACACACACATGCACAAACCCCGCACACGCCGCACCCCGCCCGCCCGGCAGGTCAGCCTGAGGACGGTGGAGGAGCTCGTGGGGGCTGTGATGGACGACGACTGGCACAGCCTGCCCCGCTGGAAGCGCATACCCTCGCTGGAGGCAGGTGGGCGCAGGGCAGCACCGCATGTCTGCTGGGCTGGAGTCCTCTAATGATCTAAGCAGGTTACATCGGCCGGGCGGGCCATGGCTTAGTCGTACTGAGCTTGGCTGGCCCTGGAGCCTAGGCGTGCACGCTGCGGGCCCGCCGGTGCCCCGCGCCATCGACCGCCGCCCTGCCGCTGCCGCTCCGCCACGCTGCCGCGCGCTGCCCGCAGTGGCGCTAGCGCTGGAGGCGCGGGCCATGCTGCCCGCCATCTGGTTCATCTTCAGCCGGCGGGAGTGCGACCTGGCGGCGCGGCACCTGGAGATCCACGGCGCCGCGCTGACCAGCCCCGAAGGCAAGAAAAGAAGGCCGCCTGTCCCCTCTCGGCTGGCTGGCTATCCAGCTGGCTGGCTGGCCAACTGGCTGGCTGCGGCCAGCGGGGGCATCTCCGTACGGTGTGGCGCATGGCTGCGCATTGGCCGGGGTGTCGTCTCCTCTGTTGCGGCGCTTACCACCCTCCCCGCTCACGTTGCACCTCTTGACCACCCTCCCGTCTTGTGGCTCATCCGCCTGGCCCCATCCACCTGCCTGCCCACCCTCCCGCCGCGCAGAGCGGCAGCAGATACAGTGGGAGCTGGATGCGCTGGCGGCGGAGCAGCCCGAGGCGGTCAAGGGCGGGTTTGTGGAGGCGCTGCTTCGGGGGGTGGCCTCGCACCACGCCGGCTGCCTGCCCGCCTGGAAGGGCCTGGTGGAGCGGCTGTTCCAGAGAGGTGGGGCCATTGCTGGAAATTGGAGAGGGCTGGGGCAGGGCAATGTAGGGCAAGGGGGGGCGTTGCTGCATGCCAGGCAGGGCGGGGAGGGCCGCAGCTGCCACGGCTGGCCGCTGCCCCCGTGATCCTTGTCCACAGCTCCGACGTGTGGCGCGTGGCCTGCTCTGTTGCGACAGGCCTGCTGAAGCTGGTGTTCGCCACCGAGACGCTGGCGGCAGGCATCAACATGCCCGCCCGCACTACCCTGGTGGCCGCGCTGTCGCGGCGGCGCGGCGGCGGCATCGGCAGCCTGCAACACAATGAGCTGCTGCAGATGGCGGGTGGGCCTGGGGGATTGGTGCAGCCTGGGGCCGGTAGCCTGCCCTGGCGCGCCAGCCGCACCTGCCCTGCCTCCCTGCCTCCAGCCTAGTGTCCACTCGCACACTCGCCAACGCCGCGGCGCTTGCCCAGCTGCTCGCGCGCCGCCAGTGCGCACGGCCTGCCTGCCTACCCTTCCCGCCATGCTCTAAGCCATTGCGCCGACCTGCTGCGCGGCCCGGTGTGCAGGGCGGGCGGGGCGGCGCGGATACGACACCACTGGCAGCTGCGTGGTGCTGCAGAGCAAGTGGGAGGACCCCGACGTCGCCTGGGACATCATCCGGCGTGGCCCCGAGCCACTGCGCTCCCAGGTGCGCGCCCCCGTCACCTCCCTCGCCCCGCGCGCTCCCGCACGCGCCCCGCGCCTCGCTGCCTTCCCCCCCTTTGAGAGCGCCTCTGCCCGCTGCGCCGCGCCAGGACGGCGCAGCCGATTCCGCCCTCACGCCCATGCATGCCACCCCGTCTGTGCGCCGCATCCCACCCGATCACGGTGCCCGCT